TATCCAGTATAAATAAAGTTAGTTTAGTTTAGGTTTCGTCCTGTAGTAACACTTGACCAATAAGAGGCGACTCTTATTGGAACTCCAGGGAGAGGAGTTTAGAACTAATAGAGCGACTCCAGTGTAACTATAAATTTATTACTTTCTACTCAGGGGACGGAAGTATGCACAAAAGATATAATCATATATATATAATAACTTAAATATTTTAGCAGTATATATTGTACATGAAATAAATGCACGCTGAAATAATCTGTACCAGAAAATGACGGTGCTACGAACTGGTAAAGTTTACCTGTTTTAGTAAGCTATTTGGAAACGAAATTCTTGAAAATAGGACAAGCCTAAGTAGAAAATCGCTGTTTACTTAGTCACATGGAGAAAACATGCAAACTAACACTGCAACGCAAATACGATAACAGTATCAATCAATTAACGGCATTATATTTTGCAGACATCGTTTAACAGTCAGACATTTGTTTGTTTTTCTAAAACTCTGTTGGAAACGGAGATTAGCTCAGCATGTTATAATAGACCCTGCATGCAGGAAACCTGAACTAACTTTATTGACACTGGATAGCTCTATCAGTTCTAAACTGTTCTTCCTAGAGGTCTATAGTAAGGATCATCTCTTATTGATCCAGTGTTACTACAGGAGGAAACCTAAACAAAACTAACTTTATTTATACTGGATAGCTCTATCAGTTCTAAACTGTTCTCCCTAGAGGTTCAGTAAGGATCAACTCTTATTGATCCAGTGTTACTACAGGAGGAAACCTAAACTAAACTAATTTTATTTCTACTTGATAGCTCTATCAGTTCTAGACTGTTCTTTCTGGAGGTCCAGTAAGGATAATCTCTTATTGATCCAGTGTTACTACTGGAGGAAACCTAAACTAACTTTATTTATACTGGATAGCTCTATCAGTTCTAAACTGTTCTTCCTGGAGGTCCAGTAAGGATCATCTCTTATTGATCCAGTGTTACTACAGGAGGAAACCTAAACTAAATTTATTTATACTGGATAATTCTATCAGTTTTAAACTATTCTTCCTAGAGGGCCAGTAAGGTCTTCTCTTATTGATCCAATGTTACTACAGAAGGAAACCTAAACTAAACTAAACTAAACTAACTTTGTATTTTTACTGCATAACTCTATCAGTTCTAAACTGTTCTTCCTAGAGATCCAGTAAGGATCATCTTAGGTTTCCTCCAGTAGTAACACTGGTTCAATAAGGGATGATCCTCACTGGACCTCTACAATTTAGAACTGATAGAACTATCCAGAATAAGCCAATCTAGCCCCACCCATTTTCCCTCTAATGAAAAAACAATTCTCTGATTTCAGATTACTCGTACTGTGGGCAAGGCTCGCAGCGAACTCGTTCAAGGGTCAGACGAGTTATCGGTGGCCAAGACGCAACTGCGCACGCGTGGCCTTGGACCGTCCTCATCATGAATTACACGACGGTGTTCTGCGGTGCTTCAATAATCAGTCCCACCTTCCTCATCACGGCCGCTCATTGCGTTGGCAGAAACCGCACTAACATATCTTTGTACGCTGGAAAACACAGAGTGGACGAGCGAGACCTCCACGAACAAAAATTAGTCGTGAAAAAATTTTACAGACACCACAAGTATAGGGCAGGCAACGACTTCCATCCGGGCGATTACGATATGGCGCTGATCCAACTGAAGAATCCCATTAAGTTTACGGAATATGTGAGGCCAATTTGCTTGGCAGGTGTGGATATGTTCGAACCGGGTCATGAATGTGTATTGAGTGGGTGGGGATATACTAATACCACAGTACGAAGGACGTCGAATATTTTACAAGAAATACGATTGCCTTTGGTTTCGGAAAAGGTATTTATGTTATGTTATGTTTTCAAAAGGTTATATGTATTCACGTTTAATTTGTAAGAGGGCCCTGAAGGGGTAAAATGGGAACTGAGATTGATCTATTTTTAGACTGGGAAAATGGGATTTGGGTTGCTGGGACTGGGATTTGGCCACTGGGAATGGGAAATGAAGTCCTCAAAAATGGGAATGGGATTGAGGTAATGCGAGTCGATTCCCAATTTTTCTGCGTTTTGAGTATTTTAAAATACAATTTTGATCCGGTTTTGGTGTCTTTGGTCATGATTTTTGTTGTTAACTATATTATTCACAGCACTACCTGCGAACAGGCATACTCTGGCGCCCGGAATTCTGGGTTTTCTGATTATGCGTGTCTCAGAATGCTGCAAATGCCATTTCCGGGATTCAAATTTAACGACGGCACGAACACCCCCATAATATTTCATAAAGTGTCCGCCACTTGCTTACTTAAAAGGTCTTGTTTATTCTACTAACTATGATTCTACCAATAAATAAAGGGGTTTTTATTGACTGGGATTTCAATAACTGGGACTGGGATTTCTAATAAAAATCCAACTGGAACTGGGATTTTGCCAAAATTTCAGGTGGGAAATGGGATTG